CTTGACTCCTGGTTAGGATTTTCATGCCCTCATGCCAGGTCTTAAATTGAACACCCTTGGCTTTAATCCACCCAAACAGCAGTGAGACATTCTACAAAGACTCGTTTCTGTAGCCTGAAAGCAACGGTGTTTTGGTTTACGATACCTATGCACATAGATGGCCGACTAGAAAAGACTCCCCGCATCTTTTCTTTGTTGCTTGTCCTGACCAGTTTTCTATCGATTATCTCTCGTGATCCCCATATCTCTTAATCACGTGACCAATAGGTATCAAGCAGCCTGATGATTTTCTTCCGCTGATGCACTGCTTCATCTTTCAGGTGGTCCGTGCTCATTAAATTACACCATCCCCACACTGGACGACCCGTACTGGTCCACATTGCACGCGGATGAATTGCTGGAACGACACCGGTTTATCTCCCTGTCAACACAGGCGTTCTATGAGAATCAAACATGTAGTGCCGCGTGGAAGCGAGAGTTCAAAGTGAGTTCAAGTTGTTCACAAAAAGTGTCATTGGTGAACAAATAATCGAATAGCTTTTTTTTCTCACGCCGCATGGCGTTCTTGTTTGCAACCGCGGATTTTCATGACTTCGAACTAAAAGATACAAGAACAAGTTTAATCCATCTGGTCATCACATCAACCGTGTAGCTCGTGTTTAGGGGGTTTGGTCAGCGAGCCACTGATTGGGTACGGACAATGGTACGGATAAATAACACACGCCCAGCTGACGAGTCTCCATAAAGGCAATACAGCCCGTCATTGCTTCATTTTTGCCCAACTTGCGGCACTGCTTATGCTTGATGAAGCTCTTGTTCCTAGTGTTGTTGTTGTCCTCATCGTCGTCGTAAAAACAGCGATTTTTCTCTGCTTGTAGGATGAAGGATTGCATGAAAATAAGCAGATGTCGTAACGTAAACCAAACTGATAACCTCATCTTCAAAGAGCTATGGAGCGCAATAAAATATCCCTCTAAAGCAAACGAGGGTGTTCATATCTTTCTTTTACCTATCAGTCGGTGAGTTGCCATCAACCCGAGTGATAAATAGCATAACCAAGCGATTTGATTGCTTAAACTTGGTCAACTTCAAGTGAATAGACCTGGAAATCACGTACCGGTTGTACACCCACGTGTTATTGGTGTTATGGACATCCTTGGTTAGCTATTGGACCGCCTATTCCGAATAAATAAGTAATCTTGTTAACAAATAAACCCGAATGGAGCAGGTTGACGTATCGCATTCCCCGTGGGGTCTAAAGGACGCAGTCAGTCTATGGACGACTGGAGTTTATCCCGATTTAATCAAACCAAACTTTTATCTACTTGCCGATGACTGAATTTCTTTTTACTATCGGGAAAACAGGAATCATGTTCCAACTCTCGTAATCCGTTGACTTGATAAAAAGTTTTTCTGTTTTGATTGAATTCTGATAGCTCTTCGTTGTTTCTTCTGATCCAAGTTATAACTGACAGGTGGTTCGGGCTGGCGGCAAACCAAATCAAAATACTTTATCAAGTTTTAACCTAGCAAGTATAAAATGGTTTGGGATTAGTAGGCTGACAGTGCGCTTAACCTACCCACTGTCTGCGTGTGACCTTACAAAGAAATTTCCGAATTCAGTTCGGGGATCACAACAAGGATCGAATTTACGGGTGTTGAATTCGGCCTTGCTGTCCAGGAGAAATATTGGCACTTCTATTCTATCCAACTCTATTCTTCTGCTATTTGAGTGCCAATAGTAAGCTTTTTCGAACAAGTTCTCATCGGCCTTTCGATATCCCAAAGTGAGGAAATTGCATGCGGTTCAAAACTAACGGTAGAATTTCTACAGAACTACAGTTTGAGTGGAATTTTGCCCACTGGGTCATTAAGAGCATAGGCTGAAGCCACCCGTGCAACGGTTTATGTTATTTTATTCTGCGTCGGAACACATTGATGATTGGTTGTGTCGATTCATCTAAGCCCGACTCGCTTTCTTACCCGCTCCCCCCCCCCGAGGTTGAGTACCGTCGTTCTCGTTTATTCGCGTCTCTAGACTTCCCCGGTCAATGACCAAGGATGTATGTCTCCCTAGGGGACGAGCAGTCCCCCAACTCCCGACCTAATAAAGCCTTTATTGCCGATTGATATTTCACTCCGAAGGTAGATTCGTTTATCAAGAACTCAATTGATTTTGAGTGAATAAGCACTTTCATAAACCCTATACAACAGATGACATGTGACGGCCGAAACAGTAGTCACATTGTGGGATTGCAATGAAATGTAATTGCTGATCAAATAATCAACGAACGAACGTACAAATCCAATAATTGGTAAGAATGTAAACATACCGAATATCAATTACACAGTCATTTCCTCTTCTATGGAAATGGACAGTTTATGTGACATCTGCTTTTCACATAAATATTCTCATACATTGTAGATGATACAACCATTTACTCAATAATAATTCAAACTTGAAAATGTTCACCTGAAAATAAAATAGTACTGGATGAGTTTAGTTGTGTACAGAACAAATTAAACCTGAACTAAAAACCTGGAAAGCACTGAACAATTGCTTCAACAACCGAATGAATCCATCGGCCCGGAGGACGACGTTCGAACGCGGTAAAATGCAAGTATTCTATCCAGTTAATCATTGGAAAGCTGACAGGGCCGTTTTTGTTTTTCCATTTACACGATATAGCACAACCCATCTTTGCCAGCTTGTTGCTAACATCACACCTCACCTATCTAAGCACCAATCTCCACGTGTATCGTTCGATCGGAATCATTCGAAACCCGATTACGTGTTAGAACACAGCGTTGTACTGACTCGAACAAATTGTCCTGTCTGCGACAACTCTCAAAAGATGTACTACATCGTATCTCGATCATATTATTATCGTAACCAATCGCATTTTATGGAATAGACAAAAACCTGGCCACTTATTTGATGATTTCATCCCCAATTCTGAAGGTTGGTGTTTCGTGAAGACCTAAGCCTAAATTATCCAGATGGAGAGCATTTTTCAGCACTTGCAACTTTGTTGGTGAATATAAACTCTTCACTCGAATAGC